TGAACACAAATACCTGTACTTTCTACTTCTTACATGTTGAACACAAATACCTGTACTTTCTACTTCTTACATGTTGAACCCAAATACCTGTACTTTCTACTTCTTACATGTTGAACCCAAATACCTGTACTTTCTACTTCTTACATGTTGAACACAAATACCTGTACTTTCTACTTCTCTCATTTTCCAAACAGGCTGGTTCCTTTAGTCTGAATGTGTGTTTGGTGGCGTGATCATTATTATTTAGAGTCATTGCGTGCCTATTGATTTGAACACGATCCGTGTATCCATCATTTCCTGGTCTTCTCTAAAGAAGAGGGACCAATGGAAACGTTGTCATGTTGCCGTTGTTCAGCATGGAAACATTCATTAGCTAACAATGACATTATTGTTCTATTAATATAAAGGGAGGTCAGGTACTCTTTAAAACAGCTGCTAGTTATGGGTACTTTTTACTGAAGTACATTTCAAAGCCTCTTTACTTTGACTTGAGTAAAGAAGTTTAGTCAGTACTTCTACTTTTACCAGAGTATTTATAAACACGAGTATCTGTACTTCTACTTGAGTAAAGGATGTGTGTACTTTTGCCATCTCTGATCATTTGTATGTGTTTCTCTCAGGTTGAGGAGGTGAAGAAGATGAAGGTCGGTGATCCTCTGGACCGGTCCACAGACCACGGACCTCAGAACCACAAAGCCCACCTGGACAAACTGGTGGATTTCTGTCAGACTGGGATCAAAGAGGGGGCCACGCTGATTTGTGGAGGAAAACAGGTGCAGAGACCAGGTAAACCTTCATGATGTCAGCCATTAGGAGGCAGGTTGACTCCATTGTTTCTGACGAGAAGAGTAACGCTACTCCTTTTAAGGTGCCACCAGGCAGATGCGTAACGTTCTCTCTGGTTGTTGTGTCTGCCTCCAGGTTTCTTCTTCGAGCCCACGCTCTTCACCGATGTTCAGGACCACATGTTCATCGCTAAAGAAGAGTCCTTCGGCCCCATCATGATCATCTCCTCGTTCAAGGGCGGGTAAGAGGCTGTGTCCATTTCTGAGCATCTGTCTTCTATTGTTTCCAATTAGGAGATCATGTAATCTAAAAAGAAATGGCAGAACCCAAAGTCTTTATTCTGAGCAGTCTGCCCTTTTTGTGCTGCCTCTCCGACACTTCAAAGTAAACATCCTTTAAGGCTTCAGAAAGCAGCGCTGAAGACGCTGTAGAAATTGGAGAAGAAGCTTGTCTTGACCATGTCTATCAAATCATAACAAAGACCAAAAGCTCATTTGTTTGAACAGATCGACCGGCAAACACTTAACTACGTAATCTTTCTGATCAAAAATCTTTTTATTGCGTTTCGACAATGCGTAACCAGGGTTTGTCATTTAGAAATGAAAAGCAAAATATATGCATAAAATGAGACAGTGGTCTGTACTGGTTGTATGTACAATGTATACTTAATGTAACAGCTGGGGGGCATTAAAAATCGCCTGTCCCTTTACGCTGATATCGTTTTATTATAAAAACTGTCATTTCCAGCGCTCAATAAACTGATAAAGGATGTTGGTACGTTTTCAGGGTATAAGGTGAATAGTTAGAAATGTAACATTCTTCTACCTAAAGAATCTGAAAGACTTAATCCAGCTCTTCAAACAGATTTCCCTGGAAGTTTTTAAATATTTAGGAATACAGATTACACCTGAAATAGAAGACCTCGTTCCAACAAACTATGACCCCATAATAGCTTCTGTGATTAATACTTAACGTATGTTTGAGAAAATGCTGAAGAGGTTCTGTGCCTTTCTCTCTGCCTCATCCCCTCTTGTGTATCCCCTCCCTCCTCTCTTCTCCCTGCCTCAGTGATGTGGACGACGTCCTGAGGAGAGCCAACGACACAGAGTTCGGCCTGGCGTCGGGGGTTTTCACGCGGGACATCAGCAAAGCTCTGTACGTCAGCGAGAAGCTGAACGCCGGCACCGTGTTCGTCAACACTTACAACAAGACGGACGTGGCTTCACCTTTCGGAGGATTCAAGCAGTCCGGATTTGGAAAAGACCTCGGTAAGAAACGGCTGACTCTGGATCTGTTGTTCGTGCAGGGGGGAAGAATTGGCTTTGCAATTAAACAATTAATCACTTAAACACGATGGACATGTCTCCATACTGACACACTACAACATTAACATGCTCTTACAAGTATCTGTTATTGATAAAAACAGGATTATATATTTTATAATGATGTGAAAAAGCCATCCTGCACACTTTGGACTTTAACTTCTGATCATTATATTCAGTTGACTCTGTACTTCTACTTGAATAACATTTTGAGTTCAGGACTTTTACTTTATAGGGTTTTTTTAATTTTTTTAAACAATATGTTTATTAATGTTTCATTATTTTAAACAACATAGCTACAAGACACACACAGGCAACAAATACAATTTAAATATATAATAAAAAAGAGATGAAATGAAAACAAATAAAGATAAAAACAATTAGGCAGTAGCAACATTATCCTCACAAGTGTACATAGTCCCAGCAGTTTAAGAAGCACTTTCCTTTTCCTTTCAGCCACATGGCTCTCGTGGATTCTCATTGTTCTTATTTCGTAGCATGTTTGAAACATTATCATTCCCTAACTGAGTAAACGGGTCCTTAACCCTATCAAAGGTTTCGTTTTTCCTTTTCTGAATATACGTTATCTTCTCCATAGAACAGCAATTACTCATTTCCCTCAGCCATTGGCCAATCCCCTTTTAGGGGTATTTGAAGTATTTAGAGTAAAGGATCTGAGTACTTCCTCAATATCTGAGTACTTATTGTCTGTTTCTCTTTCTCTGCAACAGGACAAGACGCTCTGAATGAATACCTGAGGACGAAGGCAGTGACCATCGAGTATTAAGAGGAGGAGGAAGCGGTGAAAAGTGGAGGATGGAGTGATTTGCTCTCGCTATAAGTGACTGCCTCTCATTAGTGAATACTAATCCTGTGCCTTAACACGATCAATCAGTCTAACAAATGAATGTTGAGTCCTGGTCCATGCTGTAGTAAGGACTGTCATATAAATACGCCCAAGTGACCTCAGACTGTTTGTAATCAATGTGATTTAGTAGGAAAGAGATGAGCAAGGAGGTCAAACATCAGGATCCTGATCAACATGTCAGGGTTTTTCTTTATTAACGACCGCTTCGCTGCACATTATCCAGCTTATTACACGGCTGCGTACAAAATAAACCAACAACTTGTTTCAGGAATATTGATAAAAAATGATTTAAAAATAATTTGTCCGTCTTCTTCTGCTGTTCCCTTTAGTGTTTACTTCCTGGCCGTTTCTCAATCGAGAGTACACATGCTGCAGAGCAACTATTTCAAGTATACTACGTCATAGAGTGGCGCAGAATGCTGGGCATTTAACATGCATTTAAACAGTCCTTCGGTGCCACTCTATGACGTAGTATACTTGAAATAGTTGCTCTGCAGCATGTGTACTCGACATTGAGAAACGGCCACAGTCTGTCTTCTTCTGCTTTTCCTGTTAGTGTTTACTTCCTGTCTGTCTTCTTCTGCTTTTCCTGTTTGTGTTTACTTCCTGTCTGTCTTCTTCTGCTGATTTCTCTGACGTCCAGCGCTCTGTCTTTCAACCTCTTTCCTTCTCTTGTGCCCTTTTCTTTTCTGTGGACAGTTTAGCCGTCATGAATCCAAAGTTTCCGGCTCTCCACAAATATAATAATCTATTTTCAAAAACTATTCATGGTGTTTTCTCATGGATAAACTAAAGCTTGTTGTTCACAGCTGACGTGAAATTGACCGGACTTCTTTATGCGGATTGATATCACTGCACATAGTCACTTGATTCCCCTTAGCAACGGTCTGTTCTCCTTAGCAACAGTCTCCTAGCGAAAAATAACAGACTTCTGGAATGTACCAATCGACCAATCAGAATCGAGTATTTGACTAAGCCTTGTAATTAGTCTAACAGATGATTGTTTAGTCCTGATCCATGCTGTTGTGAACCACACCCAAGTGACCTCAGAGACTGTTATTAATCCATGCGATTGAGTTACGAAATGGAAATATTTGTAACAGACTGCCTGAGTTTCTGATATGGCTTACATTAGGTCAGAGAAGTATTAAGAAATATAACATTTCTAACAACAGGTTCTGAATAAAAACTGCTGTGAATCTCACCACTGTGTCCATTTGTATTCTTATTAGTTAATGGATGATGAAGTTTGACTTGAAATAATTCAATGGAAATTATCTGAGTACTTTCTCAATATCTGAGTACTTATTGTAAGGGTCCGTGTCATCTCTGTGGTGAAAGTTATTAATGTTCATATTTTAACCAATTTTTTTTCACATAATGACTAGAGTTGGACTCCAGTGCTGCCAAAACCTACCACACATCATCTTCATCCAAGATATTCCCAGGAGTTTTCAGATGGAGCGTGCGAGGGCTTTTGTTTTGAATTAACTTCCGGGTATTCTGCCCCGCCCCCCAGCTCCAATGTTCATCATTTGACCATTTAGTAAGATGAAAAGCACACGTAAAAAAGCATTGCAGTCAAGTCACTGTTCTTTTAACTTGTTCACGGAAGAAAAGCAATTGTTACTAAGGTGCACGGAATAAATTACCAGTAATGTTCACGAGGACGGACTTTTATTTTGAAATCTGTTTCTGCACGCTCCTACCGTAAATCATCACGAGCATACATTGGATTACTGTACAACGAAGGGAGCTGTTTGCCAAATAGCAGGCTGGTTTTATTGCATTATGAAGCAACAGTAATATGTTGTATCTTTTGGTGTACGTTTATTTATTTCGAATGACATAATTATACGAAAAGGTACAGGGAGGAGGGTGCACTGCAAACCGTTTTTATTTTTTATATAATTAGGCATCTTTCTATCTAAAGGATATAAAAATAAAAGTGGGGTTTTTATTTGACATTCTGGGGTTGTAGAAAACACATTTAAATAATTATTACTACACAGAGAAGCGTCACGGTGCTCGCGCATCTTACGCACGGACCCGCAGCTGAATCCATCCTCAGGTCGACATCTTTTATACAAAATAAGGGGGCTTGTTTTGTTTTTTTAAATAGCCCACTCAATATGATCACACCACCGTTTTTCAGCCCTCTGCCTCTTTTTATTGGTGCCTTTTAAAAGCTGGGATGGGCACCATTCTGCAGGAGCGCGCGCCACAACAACACGCGGAGAGGGTTTCCATCATCAGGGACAAGAAGAACAACAACACGCCTAGTGTGGCCAGGTATCTCACATATGATTCAATATGATCTAATAAAATGTTCAGACAGATGCTCTGACGCCTCCATGGATCCGTGTATCCGCGGTTTGATCTGCAAATGCAATTATCCCCCTTCCTAATAAAACGAAATACACGCAAACGACAGGATATATAATGGTGTTGCTAGATTTGAATTGTGTGTTGAATTGTGTTGGCTGCGTTTGTTAATATTTCCTCGGTTTCTCTTCTTCCAAAGCAGCAGAATGGGCCGGCGGCAGGCACAAAGGAAGCCGGTGCAGCCGCAGTACATGCTACCAAGTCAAGAAAATATGAATGAGAAGGTGAGAGTGAAGCACAACTGGAGGTATGAGAGGAATAATCCATCCTGTAAACCGCTTGGAAACCATTTTGATGACTACATATCATTTTTTAAGCAGCAATGTTACATATTTTCTGATTAGATATATTTTTTTGCTTTAAATTAATATATTTTTAATATTATTGCCAAGCAATTTGAAGACATCTCCTAGACCTAGAGCTCTTAGAAATTGCAATGGGAATCAAAATATTCTGGATTGTCCGATGAAGCAAAAGTGAAAAAGTTTCACCATTACTGTGAAGTGAGGATGTGTTTAAAGAATGAAGGTGTATTAGTAGTTGTGTGTGAGGCATGAAAGGAGCCTTATATAAAATGTAGTGTTATTATTATTATTATTATTATTATTATTGATACCATCTCTCTGTGTTCATAGAGGCTTCAGCAGATAAGGAAGCAGAAGCCGAACCCCCCCTCCACCAAACGAGCTCCCTCTCATCACAGGTGAGACTGATTTCAGAGTTCAGAGAGCAGGATTACAGTGTTCCAAAAAACCTGAAAACAGCAGATAGTGTGTGTTGTAAAGCATCAGATGTTATCTCTTCTCTGTGAGCTGTGCTGTTCTGTTGGATAATACTTTCAGAGTGAATCTATACGTCTACCGCCTGAATCTGCTTTATGGTTTCCACTTTCTTTGCTTCATTTGTTCTGTTTCTAATTCAGCAGGTGAACCTATATGTTCACAAAATAGTGTGTGTGAGCTGAACTGTTTGTATTAAACTAAAATGGAGCATTTTAGTTTTAGCTCAGATTTTATTTCTGCTTTTTAAAACTGTAGTATGTGCTCATGTGTTTCAGTGTTGGTGTGTAGGCTACAGCCTGGATATGCTTTGTAGGAGCAACACGCTAATTTGGCCATTGTTGATTGTTTTATCATACTTTTTTACACCACAATTGTCACGTGGATCTGGTTTAAGGTATGTAGTCTACCTGTTGGGTTTGTTTGGTAAGAGAAGGAGGGTGATTTGGTTCAAATACCGTTTGTTGACTGTATGGTTCTACTTTGGTTATTGTCTGTTTGTTTTTTTATTCAACTTTATTAAACGTAACCTCAGTACGGACTGCTTATTGGGAACGAGTCACAATGATGATTGGAGGTTTTCTCACTACATGCTTGATGAAAGGCAGGTTTTCCTACAGATAAAATGATTTCTGATCCTAAATATCTTGGCGTCTTCTTTTCTAAGGTCACATTGTTCTGTTGTCTTACATAATACACTCAAGTGAAAACATCTTATTGATATTTCTTGTCTCTTTGTTATTATTTGCATTGCATTTAACATTGAGGCAATCCAAAAGATACTCAGATTATGTTACTGATTACATTTTCTTAACTATTGTAACGGAATATATTTACTAACATCATGTTAACTTCTCCCTCCAGAACTCAGGGATCCTCGGAGTCTAAGAGCAATCCTCCGTCTCCTGCAGAGGACAGATCTTCTCAGCATAAAGAACACAGCGGTGTAAGAACCAGCCGACACTCAGCAGCTTTTCCCTGCCACAATCTGTCAAAAACCAGCCCTGATCTCCTGGAAACACCTTCAGAGGTACTGTTGGAGCTTTATATCGCCTTATATTTTAAATATTTCTTGCTGTTATTGTTTCTAGTAAATGTATTCTTAGTTATTGAAGTTCGTTAAAGGTCCCCTATTATAATGTTTTTCATCAATATATTATAGGTTTCAGATATATACAGAACATGTCTCTGAAGTGTTTGGCTCCAAACACCAAACAGATCATTGCAGCATTACCCATAATCCCCTCTGTTTCAGCCCTGTTTCCAAAGTGCTGATTCTCTGTCTGTTACTGTAGACGAAAATAAGGAGCCCCTCCCCACGCCCCTCTGAGAGAGATTTGGTTACAAAGAACTCAATGGAGCTCTAGGAGGAGATTCAGGTGATAAGGGAGGGGGGGGGTACCTTGGTTGCTGATTGGCTAATGGTCACACAAGACAACACATCGTTATGACATCATAAAGTGGCCAAAATCTGATCAGCTCATTTTCAGACAGGTTTTTATAGAAATGGATCAAAAAGAGAGAGAATCTTTGTTCCTGAAACTTTCAGAGTCTCTTTCCACAGAGGGGACACATCTTGATGTAGAAGAGACATGAAGAAGAGGGGACACATGTTGATGTAGAAGAGACATGAAGAAGAGGGGACACATGTTGATGTAGAAGAGACATGAAGAAGAGGGGACACATGTTGATGTAGAAGAGACATGGAGAAGAGGGGACACATGTTGATGTAGAAGAGACATGAGAAGAGGGGACACATGTTGATGTAGAAGAGACATGAAGAAGAGGGGACACATGTTGATGTAGAAGAGACATGGAGAAGTGGATTTTGCACAATAGGTGACCTTTAAGTTAATTATTTGTTTTATTTCTATATCATTGTGTCCGCTACAGGTAGGAGTTCTGAGCGTCGATGGCGACAGCGACAGCGACTTGTCCGAATCAGAGAGACTTCCTGTGGGCTCTTTTAGCCGTGTTCCCCCTGAACTCCACCTGAGACCAGAAGTCATCGAGGCTGAAGATCTTTCCTCTCGCTGCCAACGACCCAGAGGACACGGACTCGGTGCTTTTGACTTCCCGGACTTCCTGCCTCCGCCTTTTAATTCGTGGAGTCTGAGTCATCTGGCTGTTTTCTACAACACGGAGGGTCGGGGGGCTCCAAGACCCAGAGCTGTGGGCCCTTTGGAA